GAGAGAGAGAGAGAGAGAGAGAGAGAGAGAGATAGTCAGACAGACAGACAGACAGACAGACAGACACCGAAAGAGCACAAAAGATGCCAGAAAGGGACACCTGATTTATTGGAACTGGAGTTACAGGTGATTGTGAGTCACCCATTGTGGGTGCCATGAACAAAATTTAGGCCCTCTGCCAGAAAAGTATGTGTTCTTAACCACTGAGTCATCTCTCCAGCCCCAAAGCTACTGATCTTAACTGTTCAGTTTGTATTCTTCCATGTTGTTTGAAGTGCTTCTCAGCTTTCAGAGCTTTGTAGCAAAGTTTGCAAATTTAGCTAGACATAGAATCATAATCATCTGCAATTGGGAATGCTTTTTCCTGTTCTTTTCAGGTTTCCCTTTTATTTCCTTCTCTTACTATATTGCTTACGTGGTATTTCAGACACTATTTGTATAAGAATGGAGTGTGTGGGCTTGTGTTCTTCCTGGTTCTAGTAGGAGCACATTGAGTTTTTCTCCACTTAGTGTGATGTTGACTCAAGGTTTATAATTCCTAATATTTATCATGCTGAGGGATATCCTGTCCATCCCCAGCCTCCGTGACTTTTACCATGAAGGGATTTGGAATTTTGTCAAAGATTTTTCTCCATTTACTGAGGTATTCATGTTGTTTGTGCCTGAGCTAATTCATTTGATGAATTACATTGGTCTATTTATGTATGTTGAACTAACCCTGCATCTGTGGATGAAGCCAACATGGTCATGATGATCTTTTTGATACGATTTTTGGATGACATTTGCAAGTAATTTACTGATGATTTTTTGTATCTGTGTCTATCAGGGAGAAAGCCTGTAATTTCTATTTCTGTGATGTCTTTGAGGACCTGACATTCTTGATATATAATATGAGAGTGGACAGGAACCACAAAATAGTGCCTTTCTTAACACGTCTAGTCTCTTAAAATTAGAAATGTATGTGTCACCAGAATGTAAGTCAGAATCCTAGTAATATTATATATCATACCCTTAAGAACTAATAAAGTCTCTCCAGTTTAATGTATTCTAAGACACATATGTGACCAGAGAACAAGTTAAAAGGGTTAAAGTTTTAAAGAAATTTTAGCTCAAAATGTCTAAAAAAAGGAAATGATGTTTTGGAAGAAAGCATCTTAAATGAATTACATAAAGAACGGAAAAGGGTCTCAGTTAGTTGATGCCTTTGCTCAAGGATTTTGTCAAGTAAGGTAACCCTTTGAAATTCGTGTTGTTAATCCTGAGATTTGTGTGAGAGAAACCAGTTCCACAATTTTGAGTCAAATTTAATGAAAATTCTAATTAAATACTGGCCAGGTGAATGGATTCTGGCCAGGTCCATCTCTGGGTTCCCAGGAAATGGCCACTGAGTCACGTTTTGCAGAAGTTTAAAGAGGCAAAAGCCACAATTCACGGCATTTCCCATGAGTTCTAATCAGAGGCAAGCATACATCCTGATGTGTTTCCTGCCTATGTACCTCCCACCAACATGTGATCTACCACGTCTGGTATAAACAAACTGGTTTGGGGGGTGAAAACAAATGTATTGCTATTTCCCAAGAACCATAGCCCCTGATGTTCCAGGAAGTTATCTGTCCTTGGAAAAATGGGGCTTCCAGGTTAACTTTAACTTTTAATTACACTGTTTGTAAAATAAATGTAAATAATAGCTATGGTATAATAAATAATTACTATGTCTTATAGTTTTAATGTACATTTCTCTCATTAAATTCTCAAATAACTCTGAGAAAGTATAAAATTTTCCTCACTTAAAAAGAAAGAAATAGAATACAGAGTTTAAAATGTTTCTTAATGTCTCAAATATAGTAAATGTCAAGGATTTTACTTCAAAACTACTTTTTATTTAATCTAGGCAGAGGAGAATATACTAAAAAAAAAAAAAAAAAGAAATAAACAAGTGGGACCTGAAATGAGTAGTAATAATACTTATATCTCAAATCCTTCCTTGTCTTTATGCATCTACATCCAGAAAGTTGTCCCTGGAAGCTTAGATCTTGCATCTATCTGAGTCCTGCCATGGCTCTGAGGTAGTCACAGTGAGGTCTTCCCAACGGGAGTATCTTATCTCATCAGCAAAACTCACTGGTCCTCACTCTGAACCTGTACCCCAATTCTAAGAGCAACTTTTTCTTTGGCACCAAATCCTTTCTTTGCCATGTTTTTGAGTTACAGTTTCTGTTTAGTCAGCTTACATGAGTCTTCTAGAACTTTGAGGAAGTACAGGAAAGCTTTGAGAGTTAGACACACCCTCAACCACACACACACACACACACACACACACACTTCAAGCCTGATTACTTTCAGAACATGAGTCAGTGTTTTGTTTCAATATTGCTGTGAATAGTTGAAAAAATGTGTTAAGGGTTAGGGTTAGGGTCATTTTAAAAACTTTTTTTTTGTGTGTGTGTGTGTGTGAGAGAGAGAGAGAGAAAGGGGATAAGAATGATGATTAGGTCATTAATCACCTAAGTTATATGTTATTTAGCTCTCATTTTTTTCAACATGGTGATTAGTGCTTCCAAATAAAAGAGAAAACTCTAGTAATTCAGCTCTATTTTGATAAGCAGCCATTTTAAATACACCCATTAGTTCACTCTCTAAATCAATTTTAATTATTTCCCAAAGAACTTATGCCTATGACTACTGTATCACTGCCACTTACTTAAAAGTTCTTGAAGAGTGTAAATAGAGTAAAAAAACCAAAAGAAGTTCCTAACACTTTGGGTGGGTGTGAAGTAGTGTGTAGGATTACAAAGGCTTACAAGAGGGCTGACTCTGAAATGAGGTCTGAAAGGATCAGGATTCTTTCCATTTGAATGGAGAAAAAAGAATATGTTTTAGAGATTCTTCAGAGGATTCCATGTAATATGTAATTTCGTTCTTTTGCAGTCTGTCTGCCCTTGGTAACAATGAAAAATAGTGTTAGTACTAAACGTCATGCAAGCTAGAGGAAAGTTTTCTGTGATGTCCCCACCAGAATTATATTTCCTGCTTCTCAAGTGAAATATAAATTTGGATTGTATAAGAATTGAAATTTGAATGATGCTTTCACAGGCTTTTGAAGATATATACATTGAAAAGAAAAAGACCATTAAAATTATTCTGGAGTATGCCGACAAGATATTTACCTACATCTTCATTTTGGAAATGCTTCTAAAATGGGTGGCCTATGGGTATAAAACATATTTCACCAATGCCTGGTGTTGGCTGGACTTCTTAATTGTTGATGTAAGTATTTAAGAATAAATTGTAAAGGATTATTTATTCGAAGTATTCTGTTTTCACCAATGCTTTTCTATATTATCATTTTATCATCTTATTTTACTTTAACACCAGATGTTTCTAAGAATATTAATGCAGCCGATGGAAATATGTCTGTGATGAACAGAGCAATGACCTTTCAGCCAAACTACTTCCAAACTACTCTGTCTAACACTTGTAACCTATCCTTGCATATATTTCACAAAATTCAAAATAAATGTGATTTTTAAAACATAGATGATTTGAGGTTGGAGAAATAGCTCCGTGGTTAACAGCACTGGCTTCTCTTCCATGGCATCCAGTATGATTCCCAGCACTTGTATAGTGACACACAACCCTCCATAACTCCTGAAACAGACACTCTGATGCACTCTTCTGGCCTACATGAGTACTATATCAAATGGTGAAGAGTAATACATGTTGTTAAACACCTACACATAATTTGAAAAGAAATAATCTTCTTAAAAATACACATGATTTGAATATCATTCTGGTTAACATTAACAAAAAAAATGGAAGACAAGAAGATCCTTGAGAGGTAGGAGTAGAAAAGAGCAGATGAATGTTTGTTTCTAAGGGATAAATGATGCTAATTTTTACAACATAACATTCAGAGATGTAGCAGAGATGTTCAAGTTGTCTGACATAGTAACTAAACGTTAAGTTAAAATTCAGGATTAAGGCTAATTTTATGTTAGAGGGAAAGAAAGTCTAGGAAATATTTATCTCAGTCATATTGAATAGAAATACATAAGAATACTTTGTTTCACAAGTTATTTTTTTAATATATGACAAAATGATTTGGGGGCTGGAGACAGAACTCGATTATACCATATGTGAGGCACTAGTTTGAAGATTCAGCACAGGAAAATAGAGATGGTGAATTTTTGTCATTGCTTCTTTATTATTTAAGTTTGTTAACAATTTCATGCACATGTATACTTATTACTCACCACCCTTTCTTATCTCCTTAGTTGCCTATAGTTCTTTGTGTAGAGTTAAGGGCTCTTGAGCTTTCAGCACCCTGCCCCCCACAAATGACTTTAGTATATCTCTTATTGTTATCTTTGTTCAGCTCATAAGTTTAAGCAGTCATGTTGATAAGGCTTTTCTGATGTAGTTTCTGATATTCCTACAAACTTTGGGAAGACACACACAACAACTAACAAAAAAGTGGCCATGAATTTGAAAGAAAGTGAGGAGAGGTATATTGTTAATACCAGAGATGCTAGGAAAAAAGACCACCAACAAAAAATCATCATGGCCAAATTAATTAAAGCAAGCAATTAATTAAGAAAAGATTTTTTCCCTCACGGGCATGAGAGTATGTCCCTAAAAGTGGGGCTCAAGAGATCATTATTGAACATTGATAAGATAAGGGCTTTTATAGTCCAGGCATAGAGGAATTTACCAAATTCCGAAGTGTGGAATTTAGCAAATAGGTGAGAAACAGAACATAACAACTTCCTGAAAAACAGGCATGGTTGCACGATGGTCATAACAATGTCATAACAACATATGTCAAAACAAGGTGGTCATCATAACAGATGGTCATAATAACATTTGAAATAAAGGACTGATTGCTGTTTCCTAGAACAGGCAGTATAGAACCATTAGTACATAAGGTTACAGGTGACTCAAAGCAGATTTGAGAAAAAGATTTAATCATAAATGAGAATGAATCCAGTTTGTCTTTATTATAAGATGGCTTTTAAGCTTAAGATGGAGACAGCCTGATTTATCAATGTGAGAAAGTCTAGAGGGAAAAAAGGAGAAACAGGGAATGAGTTAATGATTATAATTTAAAAAATATAAGAAATCCTTTTTTAAAAAAAAAAGATTTGTGAGAGGACATACATATGTGTTCCCTGCAAAGGACTGGAGTGCAGTGTTTCTCTAGATTATCACATATTCAGTATGAGAACATTCAACTCCAGTTTGAAGAACAATTCTACTATTTCATTACAGACTGTTCAATTTTTACATAATATTTTTAGAATCTTTCTTATGAAAAAGATAGCACACCTTTTTTCTTAAGTAGGAAATAATGGGCATGCATGATTGAATCAGTTTAGGCTTGAGAAGAGGAATAGTGAGACTTACTACCTATAGGTTATTAAAAATGTATATTCCACTTAGTGAAATATTCTGAAGTGACTACACAAGGACATTTATTCCACAGAGCAGTTTACCTGTCTCAAGCAGGAGCAGTGAACTTGTAAGCAATCAAGTTGTATTCTCTAACAATGAAATAGAAATTGACCTGAATCCACTCCTCTCTAAAAATACTGAGTCTCTGACATTACATTAGCTGTGTTGAAGACATTGTTCTGAGACACAGTGCCTGCTGTGGTAAACAATAAACGGAAATTAGTCACAGACTGAAAGCACTAAGAGATACAGAATTTGGTTCACAGAAGAACTCAGTGTTCTGTTCCAAAATGGACGTTGATTTCTTTTCTGAAAGTGTTCTTTCTCTTGAGATAATTCATGAAAAGAGCACACATTGCTCTAGGGTGGTCTTCATGGCTACTAGACCTAACATGATGAAATTATCGTATATTTAGGTTGATTATTAAGCAGTGAATCATCTAATATCACTCTATGTTCAATATAACTCAAAATTTTTTCCAGGAAGTATTATAGATTGATCTTTGTGACAGTTTTGACAAACTGAAGGCTATAAGCAATATTGTTTTGAAACTGTTCCCATCTCAGTCATAAATCTTAAGGTGGTTTCCAAATACAGGTTATACTCACATTTAGATCTATTTAAGCTTTTTTTTTCTATTTAAGCTTTTAACATACTTTTTTCAACTTTTTTTATTTGAATTAGAAACAGGATTGTTTTACATGACAATCCCAGTTCCTTTCTCCCTCCCGTCCTCCCCTACCCCCACCAACTAAACCCCTCCCTATCACATATCCTTTCTGCTCCCCCTGGATGGTGAGGCCTTCCATAGGGTGTCATCAGAGTCTACTGTATCCTTTGGGATAGGGCATAGGCCCAGCCCTGTGTGTCTTGGCTCAAGGAGTATTCCTCTATATGAAATGGGCTCCCAAAGTCCACACCTATGCTAGGTATAAGCACTGAACTACTACAGGAGGTCCCGTAGATGTCCAAGGTTTCCTCACAGAAACCCATGTTCCTGGGGTCTGGATCAGTCCCATGCTATCATTCTGGGGAGCAAGAGTTCCCTGATGTTCAGGTCAGCTGTTTCTTCTTTACTAGCTTCTTTGGCAGTGTGGATTGTAGGCTGGTAATCCTTACTCTATGTCTGAAATGCAAATATGAGTGAGTACATACCATGTTTGTCTTTTTGTGACTGGGTTATCTCCCTCAGAATGGTTATTCTAGATCCATCCATTTTCCTGCAAATTTCAAGATTCCATTGTTTTATTCTGCTGAGTAGAATTGTGTCAATATACCACATTTTCTCTATGCATTCTTCGGTTGAGGGGATCTAGGCTGCTTCCAGTTTCTGGCTATTACAAATAGTGCTGCTATGAACATCTTTGAACATATGTCCTTTTGTATGAATGTGCTTCTTTTGGGTATATGCCTAAGAGTGGAATTGCTGGATCTTGTGGTAGACTGATTCCTATTTCTTTGAGGAGTCACCATACTGATTTCCAAAGTGGCTGTACAAGTTGGCACACCCACCAGCAGTGGAGAAGTGTTCTCCTTTCTCCACATCCTCTCCAGCATAAACTATCATTGGTGTTTTTGATTTTTACCATTCTGACAGGAGTAAGATGGTATCTCAGAGTTATTTTGATTTGCATTTCCCTGATGGCTAAGGATGTTGAACACTTTCTTATATGTCTTTCAGCTGTTTTAGATTCCTCTATTGAGAATTGTCTATTTAGTTCTGTACCCCACTTTTTAATTGGGTTGTTTGGTGTTTTGGAGACTAGCTTCTTGAGTTCTTTGTATATTTTGGAGATCAGCCCTCTGTCAGATGTGGGGTTGGTGAATATCTTTTCCCAGTCTGTCAGCTGCCATTTTGTCTTGCTGACTGTCTCCTTTGCTTTACAGAAGCTTCTCAGTTTCAGGAGGTCCCATTTATCAATTGTTGACCTCAGCGTCTGTGCTACTGGTGTAATGTTCAGAAAGTGGTCTCCTGTACCAATTAATTCAAGGGTATTTCCCACTTTGTCTTCTACTAGGTTCAGTGTAGCTGGATTTATGTTGAGATCTTTGATCCATTTTGACTTAAGTTTTGTGCAAGGCGATAGGCTTGGGTCTAACTGCAGTCTTCTACATATCTGCAACCAGTTATGCCAGAACCATTTGTTGAAGATTGGAAGCACTCTTAGGTTTGCCATGGGTTTCATTTTAATTGACAATTTATTCCTTGCTGTAATTAAAATTTCAGTATTAAAAAGCAAATAGATAACCAGTAATTATTAAATATAAAGTTATATGTGTTGTTTCTACTTATGTGTAATAAGTAACCTTTATTCCTTCATTATTTCCTCTCTTGATTAACCTTCCATGAAATCTATTTTCTTTTAAAAACTTTTTATTCTAATTAGAAACAAGCTTGTTTTACATGTCAATCCCAGTTCTCTCTTCCTCCCATCCTTCCCTGTCCCCACTGGCCCCCTATCTTATTCCCTTTCTGCTCCCCAGGGAAGGTAAGGCCTTCCATGGGGGATCTTCAAAGACTATCATCATTTGGAGCAGGGCCTAGGCCCTCCCCTATGTGTCTAGGCTGAGAGAGTATCCCTATATATGGAATGGGTTCCCAAAGTCCATTCATATACTAGGGATAAATACTGATCCACTACTAGAGGCCCCATAGATTGCCCAGGCTTCCTATCTGACACCCACATCCAGGGGGTCTGGAACAGTCCTATGTTGGTTTCCCAGCTATCAATCTGGGGTCCGTGAGCTACCCCTTGTTCAGGTCAGCCGTTTCTGTGGGTTTTCCAGCCTGGTCTTGACCCCTTTGCTCATCACTCCTCCCTCTTTGTAACTGGATTCCAGGTATTCAGCTCAGTGTAAAAACTTCTTTTTTCGGTAAGTTTTAGAGCTAGTAGGCTGACTAAATAACCTTATAAGGAAAATTACATTCTTTTTGCTCTTAGTGTGATTTAAAATTGAATTTTCATTTCTGTGTTTTGCACTTTACTAAAATAGTTACTGAAGATGTCATTTTTTTTGCAGGTATCTCTGGTTACTTTAGTAGCCAACACTCTTGGCTACTCAGACCTTGGTCCCATTAAATCCCTGCGAACCTTGAGAGCACTAAGACCTCTAAGAGCTTTGTCTAGATTTGAAGGAATGAGGGTAAGAAAATACCAAAATCCTTAATCTAAAACCTTATTGTTTAAGTATATGGTGAAATAGTTCTGAAACAGTGTGCAGTTATTATGGCCTATCACTGTATACATATATGGACATATACATACACATGTGATATGTTTATATATAGTAAGTACACACAGTATCTTCTAATAAGTGAAGTAATAAATTATACTATAATCCTCCCTTTATATAGAAGATATATAGATAAAAAATCACATGATCCTATTAAGTGGCCTTTCTTTTTCAAAGTGGAGATTTCACTACACTAGAGTTAAGTAATGAGGTCACAATTATGCCTCATCAGATATCCAAAACAATTTGATAAAGGAACAACCTTAGGTAGAGAATATAAGAAAGGATAGGAAGGTAAGGTAACATTAGCCATCATATCTAATTTCATGCACAAAGCAATGATGATACAAAATCAGTTTAATTGTATCAAAATTGCATTGAAAGAAATCTAAGCCCTAAGACTTTAGTTCATTTGTCATATGCTGTATAATAAACACAAAAGAGTCATTCCATAGAAAAAAACTGACACAAACAGTAACTACAATCAACCTGGTTTTATAGTCTGTATTAAATCAGCAACTTCTTCATAACATCCATAGCAGACAATGCCTATATTTTTTACATTCAGCATAAGTCATCATTTGTTGCTATTCTTCTTTCATTTCTTCTTCTTCAGATTTCTGCCTGATTCCTCAACCTATATTATTCTCTCACATTGGAGTGCTTCTATCTCCTGTTTTCATCCCCAACTCACCAACTTCAGTATACTACTCAACAAATTGTCGATACAAGCCTCTGACCTCACTATCCACCCACCTCCCTATGTCACCTTGCTTTTCGTTGTGATAAGATGTTGCTCTAGAGTATTTCTTTTTTTTTCCGAGACAGGGTTTCTCCGTGGCTTTGGAGGCTGTCCTGGAACTAGCTCTTGTAGACCAGGCTGGTCTTGAACTCACAGAGATCCGCCTGCCTCTGCCTCCTGAGTGCTGGGATTAAAAGCATACATCGTCAGTGCCCAGCTTGCTCTAGAGTATTGCTACAGCTACTTGTAATTCATTGTTGATTATTAGAACCAATGTCATCCATGGTTTCCCTAACGGTCAGGAAATCCCTTGAACAGTGTAAAACATGCTGATTAAAGTCAGCATTGTGAGATTTTGTTGTTTTCTTACCTTTTCCTTGTTAGCTTCTTTATGGTTCAATGAGAGAGGGCTTAGTCTCAATTCTTGTACATATAAAATAAAAAAAAATACTAGAAAAAAAAAAAAAACAAGTACCTCTGACCATTAAATTGAATTTGAATTTAAATTTACCTTCTCTGTTCAGCACAAGACATACCCAAAGTCCTTGGATCTAAGACCACATACCCAAAACTCTCTCACATTTTACTCACTTGCTCCTCTCCTTGCCACCTCAGAGCAACTTAACATGGAGACTAGTCTGGCTCCTGTGTTTTAGATGTATGGATACTGACAAGCTGTCATCATTGCCTGGGAACTTTTAGAAATGCAGACTTCTAACTCAGCCTGACTGGCCACTTTCATAGCTGAGAAAAGAAGATCATGATTTTAAGACTAGTCTAGGGCATGTAATGAGAACACATCTCAGAAAAACAAGAGGTAAAGAGATAACTCAGTGATTGGATACGTGCCCCACCTTCCTAAGAACCTAGATCATTGATAGCCAGTGCATCAATGTGTATGGGCGCTCACGTGTACACAACACACACACCTCTTGAGGTCCATTCTAGGTCCACTCATCCTGCTAAATGGTATATTCTGGATTTAGCCAACCTCATACGATCATCAGAGAATGTTATGACCTTCAGCCCTTATATTGTTAGCTCTGCTTATTTAAATATAACTATAATCTTTTACTAGCTCGTGCATATAGTTGAGAATTGCCAAGTCTATGAGAGATCACTATTTCAAAAGAATTCATAAGCAAAACACCGTAAGAATGTAAAACTCTGGTTTCATTTTATGAACATATATAGTACTAGGAGGTCTTAATTCTAAGTTCATTTTTTGAGCATTAGTAGAATGTTGTATTGTATTCATACCTATGATTGTCTCATGGATTTGAGCAACAACTCTTGCTTATCTATAAACAAAGAACATGTTCATGCCTAGAAAACTGTTTCCCTTGCTAATAAAGCCAGTCTAACAATTACAGAAGCTTTTTGTTGGTGGTGGTGGTTTTGCATGTTCTTATAAGTTGATCTAATTCAAAATATTTTAACATATTTACAGAATCCAAATATTTATTTTCACCCTGAAAAGAGAAGTATTTCTTCAAGTGGCAGAGTCACTTTGGGGGATAAAGGAAACAATACAAGTGAAACATTTGGATGTAGTTTCCTCAGAGTCCTGAGGCTCGGACCCTTTCACGTCACCCTATTAATACACATTTTAACATCAGTTATGTGCCAGTTATTGTGCTGGTAAAAATGAATAGTATAATGGTAAATAGACTGTACCTCCCCACCAGTGAGTTAAGTGTCCCAGGTAAGGGGAACATCATTCTGTGGAACCTCTATAACAGTATACAATACTGCAGGGTTGTCACATGGGCTTGTCTGCCTGTGACAGTTTAAGATCTCACAGTGTAGTAACATTGTGGAGCCATAACTATCAAAGAAAGCCACAAGCCACAGGACAATAGGCACTCCAAGCATGGCTACTGTAAGCTTGATTTAAAAAAAAAATGGGTTTGTAAGTCCTTGGGGCTAAGGACTGCAAGGCACAGTGTAATAATCACAGTAGGGGGAATAGATGAAACGAGGAGAGGATATAAGTCTGATGAGGAACTAGTCACTCTAAATATCACTCTAGCCCTGTTCTTCCCTGCCCTTTTGGAGATCATCTATAGAGTGATAAAGAATCCCATGAAGAGCTACCACAAGGCTTTTCCTATCTTCACCCCCATTCTCCTCTGCAATCTCTCCACAGTAATTCTTATTGTTCCAGTTGAGGGGTCCAGAAATTACTATGAAGGAAGTTCTACTGAAGCAGAGTCCAGCCCTTTGTTTATGTGTGACCGATGGCTAAAATGGCAATAGAGATCATGCAACCCATACTGACTAAAGATATTTAAGAATTGTTTCCTATCTCTATTCCAGACTATTTCATAGGTAGTCAGAGACCCTACATGTGTCCCCATTTGGAAGTGTCTTGAGATCCTGCTTAATGAGTTAAACTAAAAAGTGAACACTAATATATGAGCTCTAGCTCCTTGGTGCTCAAATGTGGAGGAGAGCTTAAGGGTGAGAAGAAAGACAGGTTTTTGAAGGATGAGATAATTAAGAGAACCTAGGGAGAGAGAACAACAGAAGTTGTGGTGTAGGAAAATAGATGCAGTGACCTCAATGGATCAATAGCAAAGAAAATGCTGCCCAGCAGCAATGAAGGAAGTAGTAAGGAAAGCCGCACCTCCTCTTTGTTTCACCTGAGGCCAGCACTCTCTATATTTGGCCAAGCACTTACATGAGAGTTATTTTTAGAGTTAGAGAAGTAACTGCAAGAAAATTGCCTCCATTTTGTAGAATCATCACAATCTAAAGAGTGCAAATCTAAAGAGACTCCTTACCTTAACCCAATGTAATACAAACTAGCAGTGGTCTTCTGAATGCTGGTGATTCCAGGATGGTGAGACTAAATATACACTTGCATTAGTCTTCATCATTTATGGTTATGTTCCTCCCATTTCTAAAATTTATCTATTTATGACTTTGTCTTACTAGCATCAGGTTTGGAGGGGTTTATTTTACCTTTTTTTCATTTATTTGAAATACATAGTCATTTTGGCCACTTTTCTGTTTATGCTGGTAGCTTTAATGTGTTTATTAATCACAAAGCTGGTAAATCAAAAATCACAGGGCTTAGGCCAAACCTTGTATTGCTTGGCACAATACTGGACATTATCAGCTGTTCAGTACGCACTTATTGGTTGGTTGGTCTTAACCCTTTAATTTTGTATTGATGTCTGACATTTTCTACTGATCCTAACTAGTCTTTCCTTTTTTGGGTATCAGGTGGTGGTCAATGCACTCATAGGAGCAATCCCTTCCATCATGAATGTGCTTCTTGTGTGTCTTATATTCTGGCTAATATTTAGCATCATGGGTGTCAATCTGTTTGCTGGCAAGTTCTATGAGTGTGTCAACACTACCGATGGGACACGATTTCCTACAACTCAAGTTGCAAACCGTTCTGAGTGTTTTGCCCTTATGAATGTTACTGGAGATGTACGATGGAAAAATCTGAAAGTGAACTTCGATAATGTTGGGCTCGGTTATCTGTCGCTGCTTCAAGTCGTAAGTGATTCCTTTCATGAATACTTGGTACAGATTGGAGGGTGTAAAACATTGTTTAGATGAACTATTATCTAGAAATTAAGATGCCATGTGATTTTTCAAATAGACTTGCTTTTCTCTTAGAACATGTGCCCTGTAAGCATGGCTAACAGGTTTCTTGAATAATTTTACATTTATTAATCCAGTATTGACAGTTTGTTTTCACTTGAACCCCCATCACTGCATCACCAGAATATTAACCTCCAAGTAGTCATTGTGGGACTCCTGTATTTATCTCATGAGAGGATGAGAAGTGTTTCCTAGAGGCACAGAGAAGCCTTGAGAAACGGAGACAAATTATTTTCTGCCCTAATGATAAAATTCTCTTCCACTTTTGTAAAGTAGAAGCTCATATGTAAAATTCACAAGTATTTGTAACAATTTCCAAATGCTTAACTAGGAAAACAAATTTAGATAATGTCCTTCTTTAAAAAGCTATAACAGTTTTTTAACATGGCTTTTATATCTGAAATAAATGTAAGTGATGCTCTGGTTTAAAAAGTCACACTTTTAATGTTAAATCAGTATTTTAAAACAGAACAAAACTAATTTGACATCACTGGTAAATATTGTAAGATTAAATAGAGAAAACTATGATGGTTTTAGTGTCTGGCTTCACACTGAAATTCTATAAATGTACTTGCAGGCAACATTTAAAGGCTGGATGGACATTATGTATGCAGCTGTTGACTCTGTTAATGTAAGTATTGACCAACCTATGACTAAGCTTTCAGATTTAACAATCTTTAGTTTAGCTCAGTAGACTTTGAACCACAGCTCTCATTTGTGCCATGGCTATGTACAAGTATAATGAAAAGCTGCAACCCTGCTGTCATCAAGGGCTTAGGTATAACATTTGGAGATGGGCCTTAATGTGAATTCTGAGTCTGCTATATTGCGCAAATTCTTCAACCACCTCTGAGCAATGTTCTTTCACTGTCTTAGCCTTAATTTAATCTGCTGTAAAAATGAAATAATCCAGTGTCTCTCTTATGGGTATATTGTGAGGATCCCACCAATCAGCACTTAGCATAGTAGTGGTAACCAATGAGCAGCAAATACTAGTTCATCCAAATAAAAGTGCAATTATTTTTAGTCATATTTTTGCTGTTTTTATATTTTAAAGCATGTTGAAATAAAACATTTTCCTACAAACTTTAAGATTATTGGCTAGTTTACGTTCGTGTGAAATACAGTAGATATTTTTATAACCAATAGAAGCACAATAAAATTAATATGAATCTGTTATCACCACTTTTACAGTTTCATTAGGAAATTAAGGGTATTCTTTCATTTAGCTGATGACATGTCCTATCAGACTGAAATTGAGCACTGCAATATGATCAGATCCTTTATGAATCTCTTTAAGATTGCATGAATATGCAGAGTAAGCATCTACCAACCACTTGTTATTACTGAATAAATGTTTAAGAGTGATTCTACTAAGTTTTAACAGTGCATCTGAAATAATAACTTTTTCTAGGATAGCAGTCATGTCAACTCGTGTGAGAGTGAAAATAACAAATTTTATCAACACACTATTGACTTTTTCCTTAGGTAAATGAGCAGCCGAAATATGAGTACAACCTCTACATGTATATTTATTTTGTCATCTTTATCATCTTTGGGTCATTCTTCACTTTGAACTTGTTCATTGGTGTCATCATAGACAATTTCAACCAACAGAAAAAGAAGATAAGTATTTTAAGTGTTTCCTTCACTGCACTGAAAAATAATTAATTTGATGTAAATTAGTTATTTTACATTTTATTTTTCAAAATATTGATCAAGTATGCAATGCATATATGCATAATCTTATAATTTTACTATGTAAAATTTTTCTGTCATAGTTTAAACATTACATTAATCATTTATTTTTCTAGATGTTTCCTATAGAGGTCTGGACAATAAATTGATCACTAATTCAAACCAGTGAACTACTTTCAAATCAGTTTTATTTATTTCAGAGGCATTCTCTTTTCCTGCTAACCATTGTTCCATGGTGTCTTAGGTGCTTAAGTGACAATCACAGTGATGTGGCTGCTAAGTTCAGGTCACCTATGTCTCATTAGAATGTCATAATAAAACACCAAAAAGAGTATGACTTAAAACAGCAGTAATTTATTCCCCCTAGAAGTTTAAATAACAAAATCAAAGCTGCAGAGGGGTCTTTCTCTTGTCCAGGCCTCTAGAAGAGGATCTATCTTTGTATCACCCAGATTCTGTCAATCAAGGTTGTCTTTGTCTTTTGGCAGTGTAAATCTAATACTTATCTATCATCACATGCTTTTCTCCTCCTTCTATAAGGAGACAGTATCATATCATATTATCATATCATAATATCATATTATTAACCTACTCTATTCCACTTGGACATCCTCTTAATTAAATGACACTAGGCAACAACAATATCTGTAATCAAAGTGACATTCTGGGGTAGTAAGAATTAGGGTTTCCATACATATTTAACGGAATAGAATTCAACTCACAAGGTCAACCATTATATCCTTATTTATTATTACTACAATGTCCTAGGAAAGAATATGTGGAGTTGGAGATTTGACATACAAAATCGCTTACCTAAGATGCACAAGGCCCAGGGTTTAGTCCCAGCATACAAACAGTTTTAAATAAATAAATATCCAAAATCCAGGGAGGAAAGGTACAACAGGATAAGTAATTAACTCTAAATTAGACATCTAATAAGTAATACAGACTAAATAGAATCAGTAATTCAAGTGCCTGCTATTGAATATTTAACCTACTCTATTATCTCATCCATTACACTGCAGCTTCAGAACCTGCATATATGAAATAGTGAAAAATGCAATGAGAACATTTCATAAAACTGCACAGGGACAGTCAGAAAAACAGATTCGGTTGTGTGTGATATTTGATATATCCCCTGAAGGTAGATAAGACGACATGCAGCAACTTGGAGGTCAAAGGATGGAATTTATATTTGAATGTAGAAAAATAAAAGCATTCATGATGTTTGCAGCTTTGGGAAAGCCAATTTGAAAATCCTTATTAATTTAATATTGTTCATATGTCATAGGGCATTTCAAACTAGGAATAACATGCAAGCAGTATACTAACATTACTGGGATTTTGTTGTGTCTGACACTGAATAAATGCTTCAAGTGTGTAATCTAGAGGAATGATTTCTAGTTAGAGTACACCAAATTTGTACAATCTGACCCTACAGAGTAGCTTCATCATAAACAAAGACCTAGAGTTACTTCAGTCACAGATTATGAAACTAGGCTTCCACAAAAAATTATCTGTCTGTTACTGCAAAAATTCAGGTTAGTTCAGAGTTAGTTCAGAACCTGTTTGATCTGAGCTGAGACCCTGTCACCTGAGCTGCTTTTATAATATCCAAAATAGCCCACCATGACAATAGATCATGGGTAAAGGCAACATATTCAATTGAGACATTTTATCAAAGAATGACTACATGGCTGTTGTGGACTGCAAGAGAATAGAATCTATGTCTTAAGTTTCTTGACAATTAACTGAGTTTCTATGGTTTGAGTACCACCTACAGGAAAAGATACCCTTGGAGAATTAAAAGTAGGATAACCAGAGAAAATTATCTCAGATTCCAGCTTGGAATCTGTAGATACATATGCGCATGCATTGGAATGTTAGTAGTGCACAGAATTCACTACCACAAGCACAAGAAGAAGTCAGTTTGGTTCAAAACCTATGCGTTATCCAGAATTCAATGTAGCTTCTTAAATATTTTAAATGTAAATACTTCACTTTCGGTTTATGACTCTCCCCACACCTTTGAAAACACACTCCCATTTTACCAGTTCTCTCAACAATCCATCATCTCCCAGTACTCTCTTCATCATTAAAAAATTCCTGTGACATTTCAATTTTATAGTTAGTCATGTGTACAACTAAAGGTGAGTAGGTAAGTAGTGAATAAGATCATGTTATAGAATGGAAAACTAAAAAGAAGCGGTTGATGAATATGGATGTGGGCACCTGTGTATGAATTCTAAGTAATGACAACCCCCCACTTTTTTTTTAACTCTCAGATTTGCTCTTCTTTATTTGGTGTCATTTTTCTTTTTTCCACTTTCTTTTTTTCTGTTTAGAAACAATCTTATTTTACATATCAATCCCTCATCCCCTCTTCCTCCCATCGTCCCATGCCCCCCCACTGACACTCCCAACCCACCCCCCAACCACTTTTTTAACAACTACATCCTTATGAGGAAGGTTAATAGCAGCTATACTAAAACATACTCCATTCAAAATTGTGGAGCCCCAAATGTGTCATATGTCATATTTTCTTAGATTTTTAAATATTAACATGCATATCAGATATTATGGGTTTAAGACAAATACCAAAAGAAAAAGACAGCCATTTATGTTTCATAGACATGTTATATACACAAGATGAAGGTAATTTCATGTAAAATTTGAAGTGCACACACAATTGACATTGTTAGACATAGTTTTCTAGAATTGTCTGTTATTTCTTTTTTCCATTAATGAAACAATGACATGGGTAAATAAATATAAATTAATAGAAAATTAATATGATGTTAATTGTTGTTGTAGAACTGTACTCCTGATAAGAGCCCTAAACATCAGCAAAAGCATGAAAGACATTTTTACATCTTCCCAATCTATCTATTATTTAACAGACATATTTTCTAGTAAGAAAACTAACAGAGTAAATAATACCTCAGCAAATAGACTGAAATAGCACAGGTTAGTATATGGAAAGGTAATCATTATTATATGAATTATTACATATGCAAATATTACATATGTAAATTACATTAAATGCCCATGTTTATACATTAGTGTTCCTTTTAGACATCTTATGTATAGCTCCTAGGTATATAACAAAGTGAATTTCATCTCTATATTTAAATATTTGACCCTTTTATGAATCAGAAAAAATAACTGCATATTGATTCTGGTTTTAAATGGATGTCTCTTTTATTCCTTTACCTTGGAGGTCAAGACATCTTTATGACAGAAGAACAGAAGAAATATTATAATGCAATGAAGAAGCTGGGATCCAAGAAACCACAAAAACCAATTCCTAGACCAGGGGTAAATATGTAACAGATGTGTGTGTGTGTGTGTGTGTGTGTGTGTGTGTGTGTGTGTGTGTGTGTGTGTGTGTGCACGCGCATGCATGTGCACACACTCACACATTCACATGTGCAATATTCTCCTGTGTTCATTGCCAGATTATTTTAAATCTGTAATATATTTCTACTCTTTTTATAAAATTTTTATTTAATTTTTGAACATTAAATTTTGATCATTTTCCCTCCCATATCTCCTTCCAGATCTTTTGTATATTTTAATATGCAGATAACACTTGGGAATTTTATTCTACAACCTGTATCATTATTTTTGGTTTGTTTTGCAGAACAAATTCCAAGGATGTATATTTGACTTAGTGACAAATCAAGCTTTTGATATCACTATCATGGTTCTTATTTGTCTCAACATGGTAACCATGATGGTGGAAAAAGAAGGGCAAAGTCGGTACATGACTGATGTTTTGTATTGGATCAATATGGTCTTCATTATCCTGTTCACTGGGGAGTGCGTGCTGAAGTTGATCTCCCTCAGACATTACTACTTCACTGTTGGATGGAACATCTTTGATTTTGTGGTAGTGATCCTCTCCATTGTAGGTAAGGCCATTTATTAATCAAATTTTAATTGTGGATAAAGTACACAAGGCTCAAAGAAGTGTCCACATACTTGAGATCTGTTTTTACCTTCAAGTCTTACTAGCATGAAAGAATTGAGGAGATTTAGAAAGAAAGCAAATTTCCATGTCAGCATTCTCAAGTTCAAGCCCAAGCCCTGGAAGCCAAATGTTGAATCTGTCAAAAAGAATTCTTATGGAGACTAGTCCCCAGGTCAGCTTCTAGAAACCTGCAAATGGATATCTATCTGTAGATGCATCCTGGGAGCTAATGAAGAATGCACTATTAATTTTACTTTAAAGGGTTTAGGGATACCAGCATATTTTTGACAGTTAAATTCATCCCAAACTTAAAATATCTAAACTGCCATTTTCATCCCTTAAAACTTAAAATTTGGTCAGTCTATAAAATTTGGTTATTTGTCAGCAAACAGCTGTGTCTGTATAACACAGATTTTATATGTCCTTTCCTTTCACCACCATCTCTTTCCTGTTCTCTATCTCTACATACCTAATATTTTAAAGTTACATTTAATTTTTAGCATTGAAATTTCTTGAGAGAAGAAATTGTGGAATAAACTCATAGCTGATCAAACAGAGTCATAAAAGCTAAAGGTTGCATAATCCAGAACCACCTGTCTGTAATCCAATCATTAAAGAGGCTTTCCCAGGAGGATGTGGAGTTCCAGACCATCCTAGGCTACCTAGTCAGTCTCCAATTTTTTTTAAACTCAAACTTTTTAAAAAACAGAGTTCAGAAAATTAAAGCTATAAAATGTTCCTACCAACATTGTTAATTTTCTGAAATGTTGACCAAAAATAGAAGATATATTGGACAAAATTTTAATTCAAAGTTATAATAAAAAAGATTAAACTGTCTAGGATAAATTTACTGTAAATTGTAGAAGACTTCTGTGAAATAACTAAAGGACAAAAAAGACTGAAAAATTGAATATTATCTTATGCTTGGTTACAAAGGCTATCATTGAAATTATGACTCCCTGAAAACTTTTATTTATTTTTCCTAGTATGGGTCTGTATCTGTGTGAGTGTATCTCATGTGTGTATGGGGGCGGGGACCACCTAAGACAAAAGAGAGTGTCAGAACCCCTGGAGCTGAAGTTACAGGCAGTTGTGAGCCACCAGATACAGATGCTGGGAATCAAACTCAGGTCCTCTGCAGGAGCAGCAAGAGCTCAAAATCTCTGAGCAATCACTCCAACCTCCATGACTAGTTTTATGATATTAATTTATAATTTCCATAAGACTACTGAAAACAAAGCAGTGCTAATAGCTGTGCCAGTGCTTAAAAAATAAAGTTCAAGGGATTAAGAGAAACCAAACAGGAGATTTTAATATACAATTAGTAATTTACTCAGTTTGACAGCCATAAAAATCAAAGGATGGTATTTAAAATATGGGGCAGCTGGAGTGGTACGCACCTTTAATCTCAGCACTGGGGAGACACAGGCAGGCAGATCTCTTTAAGTTCCAGGCCAGCCATTGTCTTCATGCAAGTTCCAGTCCAGCCAAGGGCAAGGCTTACATGGTCAGACCTGATCTTTAAAAAAAAAGTTAGAAAATTTTTGTAATTTTTTAACAATTTATTTAATTGTCTCCCTCCCTTTATTTCTTCTTCTTGATTTTTACGAGTAGGATCTAGTTTATGGATGGCTTTAGCACTGAGCTCCACCTTGAGTCTTGGATATAGATATTTGAGCATGCATAATCCTTTCTATTCACAACACAACTTTAGTCTCAAGAGAATGAAAAGCATCTTCAAGACACAAATAAAGAGGAAATTGTCCATGAATTTAGTTAAGATAGGAAAATGTCACAAGCAGTTATTTGTTAAAATATTGAATTCAAGATAGAACAGCAATTCTGAATTTCAGATGGCATGGCATATGAAGATATTTAAATTCATGACATTGTGCCACATGGATATATAAATATTTCCATTTATTTTGCCCTCCCACATAGGAATGTTTCTCGCTGAGATGATAGAGAAGTACTTTGTGTCCCCTACCCTGTTCCGAGTCATCCGCCTGGCCAGGATTGGCCGAATCCTACGCCTGATCAAAGGCGCCAAGGGGATCCGTACACTGCTTTTTGCTTTGATGATGTCTCTTCCCGCACTGTTCAACATCGGCCTCCTGCTTTTCCTGGTCATGTTCATCTACGCCATCTTTGGGATGTCCAACTTTGCCTATGTTAAAAAGGAAGCTGGAATTAATGACATGTTCAACTTTGAGACTTTTGGCAACAGCATGATCTGCCTGTTCCAAATCACCACCTCTGCAGGCTGGGATGGACTGCTGGCCCCCATCCTCAACAGTGCCCCTCCCGACTGTGACCCAAAAAAAATTCATCCAGGAAGTTCAGTGGAAGGAGACTGTGGGAACCCGTCTGTGGGGATTTTCTACTTTGTCAGCTACATCATCATATCCTTCCTGGTTGTGGTGAACATGTACATCGCTGTCATCCTGGAGAATTTCAGCGTTGCCACTGAAGAAAGTACTGAACCCCTGAGTGAGGACGACTTTGAGATGTTCTATGAGGTCTGGGAGAAGTTCGACCCTGATGCCACTCAGTTCATAGAGTTCTGCAAGCTGTCTGACTTTGCGGCTGGCCTGGAACCCCCCCTTCTCATCGCAAAGCACAACAAAGTACAGCTCATTGCCATGGATCTGCCCATGGTGAGCGGAGACCGCATCCACTGCCTGGACATCTTATTTGCTTTTACAAAGCGTGTCCTTGGTGAGAGTGGAGAGATGGATTCTCTTCGTTCACAGATGGAAGATAGGTTTATGTCTGCAAATCCTTCTAAAGTGTCCTATGAGCCCATTACAACCACACTAAAACGAAAACAAGAGGATGTATCTGCTACTATCATTCAGCGTGCTTACAGAAGGTACCGCCTTCGGCAAAACGTCAAGAATATATCAAGTATATACATAAAAGATGGAGATAGGGATGATGACTTGCCTAATAAAGAAGATATAGTTTTCGATAATGTTAACGAGAACTCAAGTCCAGAAAAGACAGATGCAACTGCCTCTGCCATCTCTCCGCCTTCGTATGACAGTGTCACAAAGCCAGATCAAGAGAAATATGAAACAGACAAAACAGAGAAGGAAGACAAAGGGAAAGATGGGAAAGAAAGCAGGGAATAGAGCTTCATTTCTGATCTACTGTTTACAGCCTATGAAGGTGACTCACTGGTGTTAATAAGACACTTTCACGGAGATATATGCCAAACTCTTTTTATCAAAATATTCTCCAAGGCACACAGCCACTAGTTCTGATCCAACGAGCAGAGGGCAGCATTGACACATGGCTATTTTTGCATTGGCAAAAAATTCTATTAGAATTGTGAATGTACTCTGGAGGGGATAGTTATTACTGCAATCAAGGGTGATTTAATCACTTAACAAATCAGAAAACGTTGGAGAACATTTTCTCATTTGCCTCCATATCTTTTCTCTAGATTCTAATTCAACATGTACCCCCATCTAAATAGAGGAATTCAGGTATACATGAATACATGCACACCGACACAAATACAAATGGGATTAGCTATAATTTGGAATTCAGTGTGAGTTTTTGCCTTTGGTTTGCAATGAAGTTCTCTGCAAAAGTGATGGTAATTAGCAATGAAGGTTTTGTCAAAACATATTATTAGGGAGTCAGAATCTTTATCCATAAAATAGAGTTGAGTTTATATTTTGAGGTGCTCAGACTTCTCCTACATTGCATCAAAAGCAATTTATAGGTCTCTATAAAATGTCATGGGATTGAAAACATATGTAGGCTACTTATTTAAGAAATCACTTGCATTTGCATAGGTTAGCATTCACCTTGATTTATGGACATCTTTGGAATCTTGTGCTCACATGATTCTCCCACCTCAGCTACTTAGCTTGAACTTGAGGTTCACTGAGAACAGCTAGCCTGTCTTTCTTACATCCCACTTTGTATGTACAATAACCACAGACCTTGAAAAATTATTTGAAATATATACATATCACATTTCTCAATATAAAAACATGAAGACTATTAACAGAAAAATTAATTTACAACTCTCTATTTACTTACATTTATTCTATCTGAATTGCCCAATAAGACATCTAATGACTCAACTCTTAACACCAGTTGCCACATTTATCTTCTTACACAGTTTTGGTTTGTCATAATTTATTTCTAAGCAAATTTAAGCTTTCCTTTTAATGAAATGTACCCTGAAATGCAATTAGCTACTTGATACCCTAGCACTTGTTTGAGCAGATGACCAGAGCACGGTATGTACTGCATCTCTTAATTACAATCCTTAATGTGTTTGGCAGGTTCCCAAGTTACAAGGAACACTAGGCTTTTAATACCTGCCCACCAGGTGTTCAGTATGAATGAAGCAGCATTCAAAGAGTGAGTTTCATCAGCTTGCTCTATTACCACTAACTTCCCTAATTGTGGAAGTGATCCTTTGAACCTCCATTATTTCATCTGTAAATAAAAACATAGATATCACTTCCTCCTTAGTATTCTAATCTGCAGTGTGAAATATGCTTTGTGTTGATCAGTAAAATAGCCCCGGTTTATCATTTTATAAGCACACTTGTCTTGAGCTGGTTGCAACTAGCCTAACAAGGACTAGAAATCTACTTTATGTTTTTAAAGCACTTGATAAACGCAAGTGTTCCTAGCACATTCTCACATAATTTTATTCTGAGAAGATGAAATCCTTCCTCCAACACATTATCTTTGCAGAGAAAAAAAGCTGAACTACATAAGTAAAGGGGGCTTTTATTTAGAAGATTCTGAAGGAAACTTTGAAGTAAATATGTAAAACATACTTCATCAATTTGCTTTTGAAATTCAAAAGTAACACAAAAGTATTTATATAAGTAATCAAATACGTATTCTTTATTTCTTGCCCAGTTAAAAAGAAAAGTTTAAACATCCCTAGAGAGATGAAGAAACATAGCAACTGGGGGATGTAAAGAGGGAGAGAAGAAATAAAGCTACAAGAATAACAAAAACAAAGATATAATTATACAAAACTTCCTCAGAATGTTTTCACACTGTGGTGCATTCTACAGCATCCTATAGGAGAGTCTCATAGCACACATTTGTCTAAGGGACATAAGAAATTAAGTGTAAGGCTGACAGTTCCCTACATCCTTGTTTAACCATTTAACTTGGTTTGGGGAACTACTTTTTAATCTCTATGGAAGATTCCAAACAGTGCTCAGCTAGACAATGTAGAGCACTATGTATCTGTTAAGGGACTAGAATAGGTTTGGTCAACTTAATTGGGGAGTCGCACAAAACCTTCCATTTGTAACAAGTTTTAATACATTCAATTAAGAAATTAGTCTTCTTTAACATTTGAGATCAGTTTTTCATTATTTTGCATCCATTAAAAATGTAACTACATTGTGAATATTTTTATGGATATAGTATATGCAGATGTTTGGTATGGATTATCTGTGATTTGCTATTAATGTTTTTACAGTGGCTGATTTTTATGTAAATTTAAAATATATTGGCAACTGGTTTCTCAACACACATTTTTTAGCATTGCAAAAAGGAACAGTTACAAAGTTTCTCTTTTTTCTACTTCATGCTGAGCATACTTCATTCTAAACTATATAATTTTAAGTGTGATATTAAGTTTTATACATACATGTATGTTTATCCTCAAAATCACTAGTTATGACATTGTATCAATTAAAAAATGGCAGTTTGGGTATTGAGACAGGGTTTCTCTCCATAGCCCTGTCAGTTCTAGAACTCACTCTGTAGACCAGGCTGGCCCTGAATTCTAGAGATCTGCCTGCTTCTGCTGCCCGAGTGCTGACATTAATGGCATGCACTGCCACCATCCAGTCTAAAAATGGTATTTGACACTAGGATAACATTTAGTAAAAGCCTAAAGCAAGCTCACACCCCTTTTCATATTGGCTAGTGTTTGTACTAATTATAAAATGTCACCCCACTGAAGCTACTAGTTACATAATTATTTTACCTATTGACATAGAATGCTGACTAGCTGGAATATATAAATTAGCATTAAATAAAAGAAAGCATATGTGAACACAAATCCATGCACATAATTTGGGTGGAAACAGGAGAATCTCATTATTTTTTGTCTCTTTTTCTGTGTAAACAGTAAAAGAAATCTGTGAGCTATTTCTAATTTCAAATTGTCACATTTTGCAATCATAAATGTTTAGCATGATTTTGTAGAATTTTGATAGTTTTGTAAGAGTAGAAATTAAATGTATATGTAAATAAAACAGTCCAAACTAGCAAATTCATCAAATGTTAATGGGAGTAATGAAAAGTAAGGATGGTCACTAATTGACCAGGGTTTAGAACTTACATTTAGAGCCATCAATTTTTAAGTATATGTTTTCACTGTCATTAGTTTCCCAAGGAAAAAAATCAAAAATTGCTCCCAGCAAATGAATAAGTAGCCATGTATATATGAATGCTGTTTACAAAATTCATGAATGCTCAAAATGTTTGAGTTTGTCAAAAATTACATTGTAGCTATACTTGAGACTTAAAAATTGTTAATAGAATCTAAAATAAAAGTCACCAAAATAAAATGATGTCAGATTTATTTTATGTCTTAGTACTTCGAGGAGTAAATTCATACACTCCTAATAATTGTTGATATTATTTCCTTTGTTTCTTTTTCTCTCCTTTCTTTGTCTTTGCAACATCTTCTTTGTAATGACTCCTGCATGCAAAAGTTGAGGAAGAGAAGTGTGGAGTCCCCAAGTAATTCATTCACTTACACGAGGAGTTTTGTATTGAGACAAGAAGTGACCAAAGGCAAACATTTAGCCACACAACACTAACTTGTGCTTGTTCTTCTTTTTGTTCTGACACGGAGAAGCTGCATAGCATGCATGACAGGTAATAGTGTATGTGCCAGGGTAAGAGCCAAATATGAATTCTAAACCAACCATGACGCTCTGAATTTCCTGGATATATTAGCCTATGTGGACCTTGGTTCTCATTGAAAATATGAGAGGTAGGAAGAATAGGATAAGACAATGCCATGAAGCAATTACCGCTATTATTGGCAACACAGAGACAAGAACTGATCTCAGTAGTGGTACTAGGGTGGTACTCCATGTGCTACTGAGGATTTTAGGAGTCTAGGTTATACAGGGATGCTAGGCAGAACCAAAATGTAGCCCACATACATGCTCAATAATGACAATGTTTCCTGTTTTGCATGAGTATGTATAAATACTTTCCCAGAAGAGTTTCATGCCTTCTACTATAAAGAATGAATATTTTGTGATGTGCTGCATACAGAAATATTTCAAATTTAGGTATTTTATGATTTGTGAATTGAATAACATGTTAAGATCAGAAAACATGGACATTAACAAAAGCTTAAGTCATTTTAAAACTGTGAATATTTGTTCTAAAAATTAGCTATATAATTAATACAAACTACTGTATTTTATTTTAGCTGTGAACATCAAATATCTTTAATGATCTTCAAGTAATACACAGTAAAAATAATAGATGTTATATTGTGTTACTATTTCAACATTGGAAATAATATAATAATATGCAACATAGTTTCAAAATATTCCTAGGGACCTCTGTAATGTTAATAATATTTGTCATGGTCACTCTGTAAAATAAAATTATAGGCACTGAATGATGTCATAAACCATCCAACATGGCTGATTGATATAGACAGAAATTTCTTCCAATAGAAAAGCTCAAATCTTCCATGCTGCAAATCACACTAATCCATAACACAAGCATAATGAGATGTAGAACCCATAGCAATCTCTCTCATGGGAGGAAGGAATTACCCATCAGCTGAAGCAGAAGGGAATTCTGCTGAGACAGCAACTCACGAACACAACAGAAGAATATGAATAATTGATAGTCATATGCAAGCAAGAGAGCAAACATGCTTCACTTAGCTCGATTTTCTATCACTCTTTACTTGCACTTAGAGTGGTGTTTGATCTGTCTGGGGGAAGCTTATTTGAAAAGATTAACTTCTGTAATGCTTGTCATGTGCTTGGGCTGGAAGATCAGAGATTCCAATGAATACCAAAAAAATCTAGAAGAACTGAGCAAAAATACTACATGTTCCAAATATAGAATTTGCTAATATGTCTTACATTTTCTG